CAATGCTAGAATTTCTGTAAGGGGGTTGCTGTAGAATTATATTTAGTAGCAATTTGCATTTTTTTAGTTTGTATTTTTTTAGTTTGTATAATGACAGCTTCAGTAGAACAGTTGTTCTCTGCTATAGGATAGTATTATTTGGTACTATGTAATCGACTTAAGGCAAACACATATATATATTATTTACTATTTTTTTTTAATTATTTTTAACATTTTATATTTATACTACTATTTATATTTATTTATAATTTAATAGCCAGAAAAAGTTCTTGCTATGAGTCAAATAAAGACAAAACTTATATAATCACGAAATATTATAGCTATTGACAAGTCATTAAAAACATATAATATAAATATTGCTATCTTATTCAAAGAAATAAATTGTGTCAAAGATACAAAGAAGAAAAATTTATCAGATGATAATACTGAAAAAGAAATAGTTAGCTCTATAGATGACTGGAAGGTAGTTGTAAATCAATAGATTAATTTATCTGAAGAGAAGAATAATGAATATATAGAAGATGATTTGGATAATTCAAGTAAATTAGAAGTTATAACTAATTTATATGAAGAAACAACACCTCAAGATTATACAATTTATCTTGCAGATAATTTGGTGATGAAATGGAAATTAGCAGATATTTTTACAGATTCGCTACCACCACCTGCTTATATCAATTTGCTTTTGGGCAATTAAGAAAATAATCATCAATACTCTTATTATATAGATATAAAAGGTAAAATATTAATTTATTATCTTTATAATAAGAAAATACTAAAGCACTAATCAAATTCAGCTTCTAAAATCGTTTAATTTGCAAAAAGAATTTTAATAATACCTATATTATTTGCAGCAACAGAGTATAACTGGTCTAAATTTAGTTATATACTTTAAAAAAAATATATATTTAAATTATCAAAAGTTTTTAAACTAGTTTATATATAAACTAAATAGTTCTTATAATATTAAAAAAGAATTATTTAATAAACAAAATAAAATTGATAATTTGGATTGTTTTAATATTGATAAATTTGATTTAGAAAATAATTTTTAGAAAGATATTTTTTATAATAGAGAAAATGAATCAGATTTATTTAATGATAATAATTCAGAAGAATTAAATATTAATTATTACAATCATAGTTAGCATAATGATAATTAATATAATAATAATCAATATAGTAATTATCAATATAGTAATAATCAATATAGTGATAATTAATATAGTGATAATCAATATAGTGATAATAAAGATATAGTAGATTCTCACAATAGTCATATTTGAAATAGTCACAATCTTGCTATAATTACCTTAATTTTTGTTCTTATAATATATTAAATTATTTGGTTGTATATTAGGAGATTAAGATTGGCATTAGAAATAATGCCATGTATTAAGGTATTGATAGCTTGGATTAAAGAGGTGTTTTGAGCTAGTGTACTAGTAAGAAGGGGTATCAGGGCAGTTATATGAGAAGCAGTTAGAGGAAATAAATATAGAGAGGTATATAGAGTGAAGATATGCATATAATAGAAGGAAATTAAGAAGTATTTTGATTTTAAAAAATTTAGATAGTTTAATTTAGAGCTGGTAAAGTTGAATAATACTTTTTAGTTATTGTTGAAGTATATCCATGAGGCTTTCCAGTTAATTAAGTAGAAGAAATGAGATCATTTATGAGCACAATGTTGTAAGAACCACAAGGCAATATTTTGAGCATTGTAAATTAATTTAATAAATTGTCTAGTGGGGCTTTTAATAAAGCTTTTGTTTTATTGCAAGATGGAGAAAGAATTATACAGATTAGTGTAATTAAAATATAAAGTTGGTGAGGTAGAATGATTATTTGCAAGTAAGTTAACAAGATTATTAAAAGGGTTGTCAGAATGGGCTTGAACTTTGTAGAAAGAAAGTTAAATATTAAAAGATTTGAGGATATTAAGAAGTGTATGCCAGATAGGCCAGGTATTGAACTTGAACTATTTTGAAAACTGAGGTGATAAGACTTGGAGTTTGTTGTATTTAGAAATAGCAGATTGTGAGTTAGTAAAGATATCAATAATTGAGTTGAGGAGAAGTGTAAAAATAGCTAATAGTATTGCAAGTAGTTTTGCTTTATATGAAGAAGGCTAGTTAAGAATTTGAGCAGAGAAGCTATGAGTAACTTTGTTATCATAGACTTGGACCCAGCCAATACCCATTGAATATTAATTGGTGCCAAGTTGTTTGATAGAACTATCAGTGTAAAAAGTAAATGATGTTGAGATAAGTTGAATAATAAGATTATAGTAAGTTTTGCAAAAGTACTACTATTATAAAAAATAGTAGAAATAGGAGAGTCAGTTATATTAATATTAATAGTAGGAGGGTGTGGTGACTTAGTGAAGTGGTGGAGTTGTTGCACCCCAGATGGCAGGTCTAGAGTTTGAATCCCATGGACGATGTTTTCGAAAAATAGCTCTGTGATATAGTTAACGGCTATTCGACGATTGGTAGGATCTAGAAATCTGTAATCTCGGTCATACTATCTAGAATAGGAGCTTTGGCGTAATAAATCTGAGATAACGGAAGAACTGAAAACCCGTTTGGCAAGTTCCGAGTTGGAAGGTAGTACAATCTTTGACAGTATTACAGGAAGACCGAATTTGGAACCGGAG